AAGCATTTAAAGTAAATTCTCTAAAGCAATAAATCAAAGAAAAGTGAAAAAGCTAGTTTGATAAAAGGACAATACAAATCAAAGTTTTGGAGTTGGGGGAAGGTTATTTAATTTTTTAAGTTTATTTTTATTTTATCTATGCATGCAAGAGCTGGGGTTTAAGCCAGAGGCGTGGGGAGTGAGAAGACTCACCAGAGACAGAGTGGGGAGCAGAACAGAGGGATGTACTGAAATACACTGCTGAGGGAAGCAGTGGCAAGACAGGAGAAGTCTGCTGGGCCATGTGGATCAGCTCCCAGCACTGAGATCTAATTCAGGCCACAGTGGCTGGCTATATCTTGATAGTGCTGAAACTTAACCCCTGCACCATCAGCTAGGTCCCGAAGGTTGATTAACTTCGAGGGGACAGAGAGACTATGGAACTTTCTTGTTGAATGAAGGATTCCAGTTAATAAAAATTGAATAAAAATGGCTAATTTAGACATTCTCATGTAAACAATTGTCCTTCTAAAAATTTTGTGTTAAGACTTTGCTTTAAGATAATTGCTTTTCTTTAGAAAACTAGTAAGGATAAAGAAAATAATGGCATAAAATAATGCCTGCTTGGACTTGTTTTCTAAAATGCATAGAAATATTTGGAATCTGAGAACCAGTGGATCCCAAGAGGCAAGTCAGGGTTCTAATAAAAAGATACTTAGAAAAGCTACTCTAGCCATAAAATGAAATAGCCTCTTTTCCAGTAGAATGTGCATATTTCAATGCAAGTATAAGCCAGATGGCAGCAACTTTTGTTCTAACAAGGTCTGATGATAATTTATATATTTAAAATATGTCACAATTGCATACTCACTCATTTTCCTACAGGTTGCAATTTCCAGTGTAATTATTTATCTTCTCTAGAGAAACATTTTGATCTTTCCCTCACCTACCAGAGTCAATAAAATAACAAATAAATAAAATTAAATTAAGGTTGTGAGCATATATCATGATTTTTTATAGTGAAGATAAAAGAAGCTAGCTTACATTAACAAGTAATCTATTAAAAGTATCAGCTAGAACTGAATGTTACATATGAGAGGTAGGAAGAGGGACTATTTAAATGAATTAAATTACACGCATATATTTAGAAACTTTGTGTCTCCATTAATAACAATGAGCCATAAAAAAGAAATAATTTTGAAAACTATAGCATAAAGATCAACTTGGGAGGTAGTTTTCAACTTTTAATCAACTCTCACACCAAACTTTCAATTATCCTTCTTTTCAAGTACATTCTTTCTATTTAATTTCTTCTTGGAAATGTGCAAGTAAATTAAAATTTTCAAACAGTAAAAAGTAGAATGTATGGTAAAAAAGAAACCTCTATTCTACTCAAGACTCCCCAGTCTTCTCCTGAAAGGGAACTACTATTACTAAATTCCTTCCCTCCCTTCTTGGCCTCCTCTCTCCCCAGTGTAGACAACGCTGCTATATATTCACTAATAGTAAGTATAAAACTATAACAATAACAGAGCCATAATCCAATATATACTTTTATATTATTATTAAAGGCAGACAGTCCTCAAAGATATAGATGGATATGTACCGCTTTTCATGTATTCCGATAAGTAGGCTGTTCTTAAGTCATTCACAAATGCAATCATCTATTAGAATGAGTATCTCCTTACATGTTGCTTTGTACATTTTGTTTTGTCTCATGTATAGCTACTTTCAGAAAATATAATTTTCCAAATATATAAACATCTAGAATTTGGTAAGAATTTCCAATTAGCCCTCCAAAGATGTTTTAATATAAAATTCTGGAAAAGGAATATCAGATTTACAGGGAACTGTATGAAGCAAGGAAAAATTTTTCTATTTTATGTACAGATTTCTCTAATGTCCTCTGAGAGCATATTTCTAAGACCATGCATAACCAATTAAATCTAAAAGTGAATAATCCTGGTGAAATTATTCAATTTAGATGGCTATGTTGGATTTGATAAATACCACCACATGTTATAATTTCAAATATATCAAGCTGGTCAAAAATATGTGCTATCCAGTTACTTAGGTTAGCAATTGCTTAGAGAAACAATAAAAAATGATGACTCATGTTTTCCCTCCTAGAGAAGCTTATTTTCTCTTAGGGATATGTAGTAAATATAATTTCAATTTCGAAGAGTTTAGAAACAATTTAGATTTGAAAAATATACCATCTTTTTAGATAGAATTTTACAGACTTCTTAGCTATTATGATCCCAAAAATAATCTATCTGAGTTGGTTTTGGAGAAATCTGGAATGCAGCAGTAGAATTCTACAATATTACTTTACAGTTAGGCTAACAAAATCAAAAGCAAGTTCCACTGACTTTAGATTTCTCTGCTGTTTATTCATATAATGAAACTATCATGAAATCATTTTCTTGTAGAATATCTGTTAGGTTGCTCTATGAGGAAATATAATTCTTTATTATCATTTTAATCTATTACCACATGGTAATTTATGGACAGTTTCACTTTTTGAGATATTATTGAAATGAATCAATATAAGAATTCCTCCAAAGAGTTCATAAAGCACCAAAACAATGATGCCAGGCAATAGTAAATATGAAATCACAAAAATATGTGGTTAATTTCAAGTGATAGGTATCCTGATTATGACTCAAATTTAAATTTTAATTTGCAGGTATCAAGTTATGGTCATAATTTGCCTTAGTTATTGCCAAATATATTGTCATATGTGAAAAGCATTAATGATGAGGCTAGATCACGGTCTAATTGTAATATGCATAAACAGATTTGCATAAACATATTCACAAACATTTAGATAAATATTCTCAATTTTCTACATCCAACTAGTTCAAATAATGTTTAAGTATTAGTAGCCTCAATTCTGGAGAGATCTATTTGATCAGTCGTTTATCTTCTAGTTCCTAAATGTATTGACATAATCATGTGCATTCATTTCAGAATTATATGAAAGCATGTATACATATCATATGGTTGTTTGTTGTTTAATATAGATTAAAACATGTATTTGTTCTTCTGGGTAAAAGTTCTTGACTCAGATTTGACCATGGTTACATGATTTATTTCTCTTCAATGCAATAGTCAACATTTGAAGTTACTAGGAATCTACAAACTGAATATTAGACTTTTCTCTAGTTTTGTGGTGTTTTCCCTCCCACATTTTTCAGTTCTGGTCTCTTCAAGTGAAAATTCACTTTCCTGCAGAGCAGCATATAGAGACACCTAGTGGCTTACATAAATGGTGATATCTCAGGTCATTCTTAATACACAGTTAATGGGGGAAATAAACTGGAATATTTTTAAAGTCAATCCTTCTAACAAAATTCTAGAATCAATTGCAAATGTATTTAATAATTCTTAGCTCAACAAAATTTATTTTAATTTGATAATAGACAAAATAATACAAAACCAAATATCAAACTAAAATTTTATATTAAGTGCATTTGTGAAGATTTAGGAAATCAATGCAGTAATGGACTAAAGCACCTGTATTTCAACCTTTTTGAGAAGCCCAATCATTGATCAATCCATTTTAAATCCTTTCAGAACATCTATAGACTTTATCAACATTCAAAACTATGTTACTAACAAGATGTAATTTTCACATGCCGAAAGCTTCTAGTTGCAAATAACATGTAATTTTAAAATTATGACACTTTAAAACTTTCATTTTAAAAATACAAAATTAAGTTTTCTAAAATGTTTGTCATTTTAGAAGATAATAACTAAGTAAATAATACAGTAACAAGACTTTAGTGGGTGGAGTTTAAGTTGTCTGTTTCTATAATATACCTAGAACAAGTGGCTATTATTCCTAGGCCAAATGCTGTAAATTTAACATGAAATTCTACTGTACGGTTTTATCTTCATTATCTTATATACAGATTACTTTTCTCCCTTTCATACATCTCCAATTTAAATAAAGTGAATAAAATAGTTTCCAGACAAGCATGTAAAGCTCATCTTAGAATTATTTACAAAACAGATTCAAATGAAATTTCAAGAACCTCAGGAGACTGCAATATTCATCATCTCTAGAAAAATTATTTTAACTCAACAGAAACAGAGGATGTGAAAAGTTACATAGAGATGCTTGTGGTTATAAAGATGATAACCTTTAGTGATGGTATTATAACCACACTATTCTCCCAAATATTACCAAGGAGACAACATCAATTACATTTAAGACGATTCCAAGATACACTACATGGTTATTTCCAAAATAAAATGGATAAAAAAATATTAACGTGCTAAAACTACCCAGTCACCAAAGGAACAAACACATGTACCTTCAACCTGCATGGAGCCACCTATTTTGATCAACTCTTTTTCTACACCTGGGATGGAATACTAAGTCTAATATTACACACACTGGAAACACACCTTATGAATGCAAAGCCCCTCTTTTGGGAAGGAGTTGCTCAGTTTCATGGAAAGAGTCTGAGATACTTACTGTAGAGATGATGCTAGTGCGGTTTAGCAGGTGACTCTTCAAGAAACTCGCTTTCTATCGACACTGCATGTATTTAGGGGTTTCCAGCTTTTTAGTACACAGGCAATGTATTCATAAACATTCTCTCTGAAAGTCGTTCACATGTCCTTGGCTCGCCCAAACCTACCTTAATTCTTTAAAAAAAAAAAAAATAGCGCCCTTGTTTGCAGCTAGGATGAACCACTCCCTCTTCCAGTGTCCTTTACAGTAAGTATCTGAGACAGCAGGAGGGGCTGTATTATTCTACATGGCAACAGAAAGACCAGCGAGCATCATCAGCACCGGGCTGGGATCTTTCCCTGACCACCAACCAGCCTGGCACTGTCGGGGTTATTTCCACTCTCCCCTTTTCAATCCGCGAGCTGCACAGTCCCACGCTCGTGTTACGCACATGGTCCAAGACTCCTCGGTCTCCCACGAATGTGACATCCAAGGGGAGCTCCGCTGCGCGGCCCGAACCCGGGGACAACTTCGCCCTCGGCTGCCATCTATCGGCCACTGCGCGCCCGCTTCGCCCGGGGCCCACCATGTCTGCTGCAGCTTGGCTGGCGCCCGCGGCCCGGCCATAAACAAGCGCGCTGGACGGGGCCCGGCGCCCGCGCCTGGGCAGACGCCTCGGAGACCCCCGCGCGGCTCCGCGCGTCCCCACCTGCTCTGCGCCAGCCGGGGAAGACGCGACTTTCTCTGAGTTTTTTGGAGCCGCGGGGCTGCTGGGACACGCCACAGGCATAGAACCACGCCGCTCCTGCCCCCCCAGGCACCCCAAAGGATGGCAGAGAGAGAGTTCCAAATAATGACGACCGTGCACCGCAGCTAGGGAAGGGAGAGCGAAACCCCCCTGCAAACAGCAGCCAAGAGGATGCGGGAGCCGTGCGGATCCTAATTACGGGCCGCGGCGGCTGCGGCGGGCTCGGCGCGGGGACAGCGGCGTCGGCTCCCGGCCGGGGGGTCGCCGCCGCGCGGGAGGCGCAGGACCGAGGAAGGCGCAGGAGCCGCAGCCTCCGCGGGAGCAGCCGAGGGGCCGGTGCCACCTTCACGCGCCCCCTCACTACCATGTACAGTGTGCGCTGCAAGAAGAAGGCGGGCGATGCATGCACACCCCCGCGCCCCGCTCCCTCTGGCTCGGCCCCGGGCGTGCGCCGCTGACCAGGGGGGAATGTGGTGAACGCGGCGAGGAGCCCCGAGGGGGGAGGGGAGGGTCCGCCGGCCGGCGCGAGCCCAGGCCGGAGGGCGCGAGGAGCCGGGGGCGGCTGGAGCCGGCGGCGGGCGCTACGGCTTGGAGAAAGTTCCCCCCGATGCAGATGGCAACTGTAAGTACCCGCCGTGGGGTGCGGCGCGGGGGGCCGGCGACCCCGCGGGCGCTCCGGGCGCGGGTGGGCGCGAGTGTGCGAGTGAGTGGGAGCCGGAGCGAGCGCTCGGCGGGGCTGGCGGGCGGTCACAGCGGCCGGGCCGGGGGGCCGGGCAGCCTCCCGGCTCCCGGTCCCTCGGCTCGCGCCGCGCGCCCCGCCCGGCTCGGCTCCCGGCCCCCCGGGCGAAGCGTCCGCGGCCGGGGCTCCAGCGCCCCCTCCCCCTCCCTTCCCAGCCGGTGGCTCGCTATCGCCCCCCCGCGCCCCCCCACCCTCTGCCCGCTCCGACTCCCGCGGAGAGCGCCGGGGAGAGCCGTTTGGGGGAGCCCCGGAACCCGCGGTCCCCACCGCCGCGGCGGTGGCCCTGGGCTGGCGGCGGCCGCGAGCTTCTGCTCTCCCGCCGCCTGCTCGCCCTGCCGGGCTCCAGGAACCCGGCGCGCACCCCCAAAGAGAGATTTCTTAAAGGGCGTCCGTGAGGAGTGGGCCCGGGAGATGTGCGAGGGGGTAAGTCGGCCGTTTACTTTGCAAAGAGGCTCCCGTGTGTGCGTCTGTGTGTGGCGGCGGGCGGCTTCCTCCCTCCTCTTCGTCCACCCCTTTCCTTGCCTCGGATTTGGGGCGGGGTGGGGGAGGGGAGTCTGGCGCCCTGGAACTCCGGGAGCCTCTGCCAGGGCCGCTGTGGGCGCAGCTGCTGCGCCCTGGCCGGGGGTCCGGCCCGGGTGGTGGGTGCTCGCCCGCCTGGCCCGAGCGGCTCCGTGCGGGCTGTGCAGGGCGCGGGGTGATCCAGGGCTTCAGCTCTTTGAGGGAGAGCAAATGCAGGTCCCCCGCCCTCCAAAAAAAAATCCCCTAATCTGAGAATGTGCAGCGCACCCGCAGATTGGCCTCGGAGGTGCCTTTCCCCGTCAGCATGCCCGCCTGCCCTGCCTCGCTCAACTTTATTTGCTCAAATTTTCGGGGTCCTTTGATGGCGAGAAGGAGGGGAAAGGGAGCGGGGTGAGAGGAGGCTCTCCGGCCCCGGCTCGCCAGAACTGAATTAAAGTTGTGAACGCTCGAGTTTAATGCTGGCTGGACCCCATTGGCGATGGGCTGTCAGAGGGGTGGGCGGTGAGTGGGGGCGGGGAGGCGCTGGGAGGGCGGGGGAGGGGACCCGACCCCCGCGGAATGGACGGGCAGATTTGATCCGGCGGAGAAGCGAAATTTCAAGGTAAACGTTTTGATTTCATCGGGGCTGTTTTTGCGGCTTTTAAACCGCGAGGCGTTTGCAGTTGCGTGGGGAGGTCGAGGGTGCTTGGGGGGTTTAGAGCCTGTGATTCAGATTCGTCTCCACACAGCTGGGTGGCCACCCGTGAATGATTCTCTGGCACACTTGCACGTGTGTGTGCATTTGTGTGTGTGTGTGTGTGTGTGTGTGTGAATGCAGTGGCTTTTAATAACGCGGGCAGGAGTCAGCTTGGGGATCCAGATCCAGGTCTCCAGACTTGAGCCCCTGAATCTGAAAGGTCTTGGCTTTAGTTTTGGGTTGCGATTCGACATCAGACTCCGGCGGTGGCGAGGCCGAGGCAAGGTTGACCAGAGAATAGGCATTGGCTCCCCGAACCCAGCATTTCTACCCAATGTCCCCTCCCACCCGCAACCCCTACCACCCAATGCGAGGATCGCACGCGCGCCCTCGCGCACGAGCACACACACACACACACACACACACACACACTCTCCATTTGTGTCCTTAAGAGTGCTGCTGTAGACTCCAAGTAGGAAGTCGCAGGAATCCTTTAAGGGGACAAAAAGAAATAAAGAAAAGGGGGAGGGGTGGAACCATTCTTAGGACAATGAAATTCGGCTTGAAAGCGCTGACCTGCGTCCCTTACTGTTCTCCGTCCCTTCCACCTTTCCATTTTGCTGCTTAATTACTCCAAGTGCCCTATCCCAAGGGGGGGGGATGGAAGAGGGGGTGCAAAACACTGACAATTAAATGCAATAAGCAACTTCAAAGGGGAGCGGGGTTAGTGAGGATTTAGTTCAGTCCAAATCCTGCTCATGGAGGAGGGTTAGTTTTGCATACCATGGCAAACAGTTGCGGAGCCCGAGGTGAGGGTGGCTTTGGTTTGGATCCTTGGTTTACTTTTAGTTGATTCCGGGTAAGCGGTGGGAACATCCTCTTTAAACTCCAGGTAGCATGAGGTGGTCCGGGATTGCGGATGCCTTCGCTGAGTTCTTTGTAATCCATCGTGCAGAACTATTTCAGCGACTTCAAGATGAGGTTTGGTGGCGTTGCTGACAGGATCAATGAGAAGCGGGCGCAGGGCGCTCTCAGGGAAGCGCTGCTAAGTGGCACCGTGCACGCAATTAGGACGCTGATGTGCTTAATAGCCTGATAGTGAGGCCCCCATCAAAGCGGACGCGCTCCCCCTTTTTTTTTGGCTCCAGAGTCAAAGCTCCTGAAGACAATTGGTGATTTAAGAGCTTCTTCTGCGTCCTTTTGATGTATTATCTTCCATCCTTTTTGCCTCTGAAAAGTATTCTTTAGGTTGCCACCCTGGCATTGGCAGCGACGGTTTAAAATAGTCCAAGTATTGTGGCTCCTTGGTTTTTTCTGTGAAAATGGGAGACCTTCCTGGTGAACTGTTAACTGGAGAGGCTCTGAGAGAAAGGCAGAGGAGCTGGGGAGAGGTTGAGGTGGGGAACCTTGTAAAATGGTGCATCTTTTCTCTCAAATTAGAAGCATGAAACTGAAGTGACAGCCATTTTATGTATATTTATGGATTGGTTTGGGAGGGGGGGGCAGGGAATGAACACTAAAATGGGACTTTTACTAACCTGCCCTTATCTTGTGAAGAGTAGCAGGTTTCTATTGTACTCACTGGGAAATTATATCAACCTTAAAATCAAAATGATTATCAGATTCTCATAAAGTCTGGAGAATGTCTGTGCTCGTGTTCCACGGGGTGGGGGTGGGGGGTCATTTATAGCCCCTCCTGGATTTCAGGAAAATAGTATTAGAGAAAAGAGACTTTCTGACTAATCCCTTAATTTTTTGTCATATCCTGTTGTTTCCCCTCCCCCCATCCCTTGCAGGAGGTAAAATGCACACTTGCTGCCCCCCAGTAACTTTGGAACAGGACCTTCACAGAAAAATGCATAGCTGGATGCTGCAGACTCTAGCGTTTGCTCTAACATCTCTCGTCCTTTCGTGTGCAGAAACCATCGATTATTATGGGGAAATCTGTGACAATGCATGTCCTTGTGAGGAGAAGGACGGCATTTTAACTGTGAGCTGTGAAAACCGGGGGATCATCAGCCTTTCTGAAATTAGCCCTCCCCGCTTCCCAATCTACCACCTCTTGTTGTCTGGAAACCTTTTGAACCGACTCTATCCCAATGAGTTTGTCAATTATACTGGGGCTTCAATTTTGCATCTGGGTAGCAACGTTATCCAGGACATAGAGACCGGGGCTTTCCATGGGCTGCGGGGTTTAAGGAGATTGCATCTCAACAACAATAAACTGGAACTTTTGCGTGATGATACCTTTCTTGGCTTGGAGGGCCTGGAGTACCTACAGGTCGACTACAATTACATCAGTGTCATTGAACCCAATGCTTTTGGGAAACTGCATTTGCTGCAGGTGCTGATCCTCAATGACAATCTCTTGTCCGGTTTACCCAACAATCTTTTCCGTTTTGTGCCCTTAACCCACTTGGACCTAAGGGGGAACCGGCTGAAACTTCTGCCCTATGTGGGGTTGTTGCAGCACATGGATAGAGTTGTGGAGTTACAGCTCGAGGAAAACCCCTGGAATTGCTCCTGTGAGTTGATCTCTCTCAAGGATTGGTTGGACAGCATCTCCTACTCAGCCCTGGTAGGGGATGTGGTTTGTGAGACCCCCTTCCGCTTACACGGCCGGGACTTAGACGAGGTGTCCAAGCAGGAACTTTGTCCAAGGAAACTTATTTCGGACTACGAGATGAGGCCGCAGACGCCTTTGAGCACCACCGGGTATTTACACACCACTCCTGCCTCGGTGAATTCCGTGGCCACTTCCTCCTCTGCTGTTTACAAACCCCCATTGAAGCCCCCTAAGGGGACTCGCCAACCCAACAAGCCCAGAGTGCGCCCCACCTCTCGGCAGCCCTCCAAGGACTTGGGCTACGGCAACTATGGGCCCAGCATCGCCTACCAGACCAAATCTCCGGTGCCTTTGGAGTGTCCCACCGCGTGCACTTGCAACCTGCAAATCTCGGATCTGGGCCTCAATGTCAACTGCCAGGAACGCAAGATCGAGAGCATCGCTGAGCTGCAGCCCAAGCCCTACAACCCCAAGAAAATGTATCTTACGGAGAATTACATTGCGCTCGTGCGCAGGAGCGACTTTCTGGAGGCCACAGGGCTGGATCTCTTACACCTGGGGAACAACCGCATCTCCATGATCCAGGACCGGGCCTTCGGGGATCTCACCAACCTGCGGCGCCTCTACCTAAATGGCAATAGGATCGAGAGGCTGAGCCCAGAGTTGTTCTATGGTCTGCAGAGCCTGCAGTATCTCTTCCTCCAGTACAATCTCATCCGTGAGATTCAGTCCGGGACTTTTGATCCCGTCCCAAACCTCCAGCTGCTATTCCTTAACAACAACCTCTTGCAGACCATGCCCTCAGGTGTCTTCTCAGGCCTGACCCTCCTCAGGTTAAACCTGAGGAGTAACCACTTCACCTCCTTGCCGGTGAGTGGAGTTCTGGACCAGCTGAAGTCACTCATCCAAATCGACCTGCACGACAACCCTTGGGATTGTACCTGCGACGTGGTGGGCATGAAGCTGTGGGTCGAACAGCTCAAAGTGGGTGTCTTGGTGGACGAGGTCATCTGCAAGGCGCCCAAGAAGTTCGCGGAGACCGAGATGCGCTCCATCAAGTCCGAGCTGCTGTGCCCGGACTACTCAGACGTGGTAGTTTCCACGCCCACGCCCTCCGCCATCCAGGTCCCGGTAAGGACCAGCGCGGTGACCCCCGCCGTGAGGCTGAACAGCACCGGGGCTCCCGCGGGCCTGGGCGCGGGCGCAGGTGCCTCGTCGGTGCCCTTGTCGGTGCTGATCCTCAGCCTGCTGCTGGTCTTCATCATGTCGGTCTTCGTGGCCGCGGGGCTCTTCGTGTTGGTGATGAAGCGCAGGAAGAAGAACCAGAGCGATCACACCAGCACCAACAACTCCGACGTGAGCTCCTTCAACATGCAGTACAGCGTGTACAGCGGCGCCGGCGGCGCGGGCGGCCACCCGCACGCGCACGTGCACCACCGCGGGCCCGCGCTGCCCAAGGTGAAGACGCCCGCGGGCCACGTGTACGAGTACATCCCCCACCCGCTGGGCCACATGTGCAAAAACCCCATCTACCGCTCCCGGGAGGGCAACTCGGTGGAGGATTACAAAGACCTGCACGAGCTCAAGGTCACCTACAGCGGCAACCACCACCTGCAGCAGCAGCAGCCAGTGCCACAGCCGCCGCCGCCGGCGGCCCAGCAGCAGCCCCAGCCGCAGCTGCAGTTGCAGCCCGGGGAGGAGGAGAGGCGGGAAAGCCACCACTTGCGGAGCCCCGCCTACAGCGTCAGCACCATCGAGCCCCGGGAGGACCTGCTGTCGCCGGTGCAGGACGCCGACCGCTTTTACAGGGGCATTTTAGAACCCGACAAACACTGCTCCACCACCCCCGCCGGCAACAGCCTCCCGGAATACCCCAAATTCCCGTGCAGCCCGGCTGCCTACACTTTCTCCCCCAATTATGACCTGAGACGCCCCCATCAATATTTGCACCCAGGGGCAGGGGACAGCAGGCTGCGGGAACCGGTGCTCTACAGCCCCCCCAGTGCTGTCTTTGTAGAACCCAACCGGAACGAGTATCTGGAGTTAAAAGCAAAACTAAACGTTGAGCCGGACTACCTCGAAGTGCTGGAAAAACAGACCACATTTAGCCAGTTCTAAAAGCAAAGAAACTCCCTGGGAGCTTTTGCATTTCAAACAAACAAGCAAGCAGACACACACGGGGAACACATTTGATTAATTGTGTTGTTTCAACGTTTAGGGTGAAGTGCCTTGGCACGAGATGCTCAGCTTGGGCGGAAGATACTGAAAGGATGTGCAGTTTCCTTTTAATTTTACACGTGGGAAACATTTGTGTAAACTGGGCACATCGCTTTCTCTTCTTGCGTGTGGGGGAGGAGAGAAGGGCTTTACGGAGGGCAATTTGCTGCGCGGGTGACTTGTTAAAGGTCGCGGTCATTTTTGTTGTGCTTGGAAGTGCTAAGAGTGGTGGGAGCTGGCAGCGCATAGATTCTGATCTTCCTCTTTGGCTCCCCCCCTCCCTCCCCCTCTAAGCCATGGGTGGGTCTAAATGGCTATTGTGGAGAGATTAGCACACCCCAACTTTACTAGAAAGTTTGTTCTCTCTCTCTCTCTCTCCCTCCCCAACTTCCCTGTCTCTTTTTCTGCCCCCACCCTCCTCATTTACTTTCCTTTCTTTTTAAAGGATGTGTTTGTATGCATTCTGGACATTTGAATTCAAAAACAAAAGTATTGTGATCTTGGGAAAGATCGCCGTAGATGTGGACAAATCATTAAAATTACAGAGCTATATGATCCATAATTGATTAGTCAAAATAACTTATTGATGAAATATACAAATATTTTATTGTAGCACCTATTTTTATATGCACATTTAGCATTTCTCTTTCCTTCACTATTTAGCCTATGATTTTCACAGAGGTGTCACATTCTATTGGGAAATGCTTTTCCAAAACTTAAGTGATAGCAGGAAGGCATTTTTAATCGTTAAAAATATGGAGAACGTAATGGCTAAATCTTAAAGCCAATTCAACCCACCCAATTGAATCTGTAATTAAAAAATAAAATTGATTGTATCCCAATGTATAAATGGAAAAAAATAGGGCAATTAATTGGGTCATTTGAGTGAGAATCATGTGCAGGTTTTGGGTTTTACTAGAAAAGATTTAAAGGTATTTTTATTAGTCAACCAAAATGATGTATTGATTTGACTACTATTGTAGCCAAGTTTTGATTGTTTAACCAAACCCAGTTGCATTTGTACAGATCCACGTGTACTGGCACCTCAGAAGACCAAATGATGGACTGTACAAATCTCTTTACAATGTCTTCATCCCTCTGGGCAGCAAGCAATGATGATAACCACAAACAGGATCTCTGTAAGATGGGGCTACTGTTGTTACAGTCTCATATGTATCCCAGCACATGTAATTTTTTAAATAGTTTCTGAATAAACACTTGATAACTATGTCAAATATGAGGGATTGAAGTAATGATTACTTAAGGTACAAAAGAATTAACGTGTGATTGATGAATATTATTAACAATTCAGGACATACTAGCCTAACATCCCTAATAGAAAAACTTTCCCCCTAATTATCACATTTAAAAAAACATGTGTATATAATGATGCCTTTTCTGGTTCAGGGAACTATGTCTTTCTACATATGTCATTTAATGTGTTTATTAATGACATTTCAACTGTATGCTTTGTTTCCTTATTGAAGTATTCACCTAGTACATGGAACATGGTAAGTAATACATTGCATATTCTTTTTCTCTCAATATTATGTATTTTGTCATGACAATATTATTTATTCAGTCTATAATTTTCCATAGTTTCCACGAGTTAACTGTGTAAAGCTACCTTCAACAGTTTACCACAGATAATTTATCTCAAGTTGATCTAGATACTAAATGTTCAAAATATTGGTGGGTATAAACTTTTCACCTCTGAGTAAGCTTTGCCAGAGAATGGCAATGAATGCTTAAAGGTAGGAAATATTTCAGCTAGTCTGAAACTTAGAGTCATATATTTTATTGCTAGTGGTGAATCGTCCCATACTCTCACTTGAGATGTGTACAGTATCAAGGGCTGTCCGTGAACTTTATATTTAGGAACACTTTCCGTGGCATTCTGCCACAAAGAGGCAGCATTCACCCATGAGTAAGTTGACAGTAACTGCTTGAATTCAGATTGAACAGGTGGTAACAGATTCCCTGAGGAATTAAAAAAAAATAGTGATGTTACATCAGCCAAGTGAAGTAAACTATCCCCATTGTGTGCAATGTTTTTCCTTCCAAGAATTCTTTATCCAAAGGGGAAAAGAATAGGCTTAATGTCATGATATTATCATAAAAAAATAAAAGTCTCTTGCTCTTCATCTACCTCCTCCATATTAAATCCAGGATTAGAAAAGGAGAATAAACACTAGCATTTTGACTTCACAAGTGCTGTTGCTATTATTTTTTTCTTCACAATGGGAATTATTTTTCTTTTAAAAATGTCAAAATCACTTCAATATTATTACATGTAGATATGGCCGTGTTGTATAAATTATAAAATATAAGGCAAAATGGAATCCTCCACGTAGTATGTAGGTTTTACTTCTTAATGGATGTATAAAATGTCAGAGAGAAGAATTACAGGAAATTAAGTAGTTCTGGAAATAAGTAGCTTCCAGAGAAAGTTTGATGCTGTGTTTTCAAAGATTAACAAAATAATGATATTATTTTCAAACCAGTTCTATTTTTACATAATCTTGTCACATACACTCTTATTTGGAGATTCACTTCAATCTCTACTCTCCCTGGGGTGGCCAACATATTTTTAATCTCAAAAATAGCAATTATATAATTTATGAAAAGAGGATACTTCTAAATTTTAAATTATTTTTCCAACTGTATTAAGGATAAAAGTAAACTTATTCTTGCTCTAGTAAATTTTTTAAAAAGTTCACATGTAGAATCATGAAACTGTATTGAATTTAAAAAATGAATTCTTTTTCTCCTGGTACATGATTCCTGACAATATATTAACATATACAGCCAGAAATAATTTGTATGGTTTTGAAGGTTTGAATTTTGGTTTTCTGGTTGTTCAGTGAGTAAATAATTAAGTTGGGTATATCAGTGATATATGATTGGATTGAGGAACCCTGCAAATTCTCTTCACAGAATTTGGGGAACAACAATACGTAATGTTTCAGGCATCAATTAAAATTTGGATGCAAACTAAGCTTGTTCTCTGCGCTTGTTCTATTTGATATTTTGCATAACGTCATGCAAATATATTCCAGGTAGATATTACAAAATATCACTTTTATCTAAGTATGATTATAGTGTAAATACTTAAAGTATCTCAGAAGTAACTTTATTCCATGTAAATAGATACTTTATATGCAAATTTTCAAATTATTTTATAGCTAGACTAATGATGGAAGTTATAAATCAATCAATTTTCATATAAATATATTTGGAACATATCTTTTGCTTAGACATGATTATTAACTTTACCAATTTTGGCATATATGCTGAGTATCCAAGTCTGTCCCTCACCACCTTTCTCTCAACCTACATAAGAAAGTCAAATTAATGTGTGTGATGAAAAGATCCACACATAATGTGGAAATGGCTAGAACTTAATAAGAAGCTAATCTAAGGCTGGTTTCTTACCCTATATCATTAATTCTATTCTTTTACAAAGATGTTGTTAGAAAATTATTTAATTTAAATAATTTAATTTGAATATGCACAACTGTCTTTCTCTACACTATTTTTCTGACTCTCCTCTTTTTTTTTCCTTATGTCTCCCAGTGTCTTCCCCCTTTCTCCTTATCCTTTCTCTTCATTATTTTTCAGTGGGGCAAGGAAAACAGTGAGAATAGTTCAGTCCTTGTTTGAAATGCCAACAACTAGCTACTTTATTTCAAGAGCTCAATAGATTGTTCCCAATTCATACAATGCCAGAGAAATGAAAGTAAAGCAGAACACAAATATCCTTCCAATTCATTTGGAAATATGCACTTGTTGCATTTTTCAAATTTTCCAAATTAAGATTTTTGCAGGGATAGGAAAATATGTGGCATACTGAGAATGTTAAGGCTTAATATTATACTGAGAAAAGGAACAAAAGAACTGATCTAAATGCTAGAAGCCAGGAGCATTTAATTAATTGATTTTCACAGGTAATAAAATACTACAAAGGTAGTAATTAAATTGTTATCAGATAAACTTTAATTTATGGATAACATTCCTAAAACCTCTTGAAGTTCTCCACTATTTTACAAAAACAAATATATGAGAATATAACTAAAGTAGTTGGATGGACATAGTCATGTGCCTAAATATAGTTTTCTAACATCTATATCAAAAGTAACCTTATATCAATTAATATTGCATTTGACATGTATGCATTTAATTCAACTCGACTCCTTTCTATAACTATCCATGTATATTTCAATCAATATCTAGCATGATTTTAGCATACAAAAATAAGTATTATCAAAGAGTGTTGCATACTCATTTTTCATTGAGTTCTTTATATTTCAATTCATTAAATATTTCAAATTATACTTTCACGTTCAATGCTGTAGGCATGTTAGATTAGAAAAAGATAATTTTATGCCACACAGTGTGAGTGTGACATTAATATAATACTATTATTCCCTCTGTTTATAACAGATCATCTGGCTGATAACAAATAGGTCAAATGTTTCTCATGGTACCAGTTAATAAAATTAATAATTTTTATTCTCCTTAAAAGAACATTTAATTTTAATTAAGTTTGAGTGATTTTGATTATTTCTTACAAGACTTGTGAAAATCAAAGCGTAAGTATTTCTAGAGAATTGGTGTAAATATGAAATTATTTCATTTTCTCATTTCAAAATAAAAATGTAGTGATATATTACATACTGTTAAGTATATCAAATACATTCTTAGTAGATATTAGTGAAGTTATTTTATAGAAGAAAAGTAATAGCCATAGTGGTATGTTGAATGGATATCTTCCAGTGTGTGTTTTTTTTTTTTAATTAGGTATCTTTTATCAGTGAACATGAAGGAATATTGTTTATTTCACCGATAAATAAACATGTAGATGTTTCAAAATTACACTTATTTATGAAAGTGGAAAATAGGAAACAATGTTTTCAAGGACGATTATTTGTTAATTTAACATGCAGAAATGGAATGTGACTTTCTTTATTTGACATTCATTAATATTTTGGTTTGCTTTCAACAAAGTTATTACAGATCATTTTGTTTTAGGAAATATTTTCTAAATATCATGATCTAAATTCAACTTTATGATACTTCAAGATGGAATAGTATATATGCAAGTAACAAATTTCAGTTACTTTTCAGTATTCTCGTAAATACATAGCTTAGATTTTCTTATAAATTGATTTCTACAACTAGTAATAGTGTCTTATGTTCCCAACTAACACAATTTTTAAATTCTTATGGTATGGTTCATTAAAAACAAAACTTAAATTAGATATTGAAACCAAAATTGCTATATATTTTCAGTTTGTTATTAGGTCTTGCTTATTTAAAACTTGAAGGGTACCATTAATCTTATGTTAAGTGATTAAAATAATTTCTTTGTCAGTTATAACAATGAAAACTTTAATTAACATATTTTACCCATGAGTGGTTCATCATGCTCTTACAGAGCAAAATTTTAAATATTAAATATAACCACCAAATATAGTTTACCTACATGGATATACCTATTTAAATTATCTGTAAAAAATCATGCTTTTAACTTTAAAATAAAAGAGTAATTTTGCTTTACTTAAGTTCAAATTCAGAAGGGTATTTCACTTATGGCAATCCTAATAATGGGAAGCTCATAAATCTTAAATTTATTAAAATCCTGAGTTTTAACATCAAGTTTAAACTTCCGTAGGAACATATATTTCTTTTGTTACCGAACTCTGTTTTGGCTAATGTCCTATTAAAGTGTACAAATACATATAGTGAATTTCTTTCATGTTTTCATTTTTGCTTGACATTTTAGGGAGCAAATATTAAAATGTACAGTTATAAACCAGCACTTGTTAATTGTAAATTAACTTTTGTTTCATTCAAACAGTATCCCTCAAATTTATAATCATCCTCCGATTTTTAAAGCTGGTGAATAGTATATTTACATAGGTGCCTCCAAATGTGAACTTTGAGATAGAAGTTACTCATACACATCAGAGAATACATAATATCATTTACCATAGTGTCATTAAAATCAACTGATTTTTTTGTTGCTTGCTTATGATTAAAAACCCTAAGTCTTAGATGATATTTGTGTCTTGTTAGAAATTTTAATGAGTAAAAAACTCATTTTTTATGGAATACTTTTGAAAAAATCAGATTCAAAATTTAAACCTTCTCCAAAACTATCAAAACCATAAAACCATTTATAAAGTCTTTGTATAAAATTAAACATTTTATGATACCGTGAATTCCATGTAGCTTGCATAATCTTTTGACTTTTAAGTTAACACTGTCTCATTTAAGAATTTTGACTAAAAGATGGTATTTTGTGCATATGATACACTGAGTCATCTTAATGTCCTATTGTGGTTTTGGTCTGCACTTTCATTTGAATGCTCTGTACCGAATTTTAAATATAATGAAAATGGTCTCCATTTTTAAGTTTAATTTCCTGCATCTCAAATTACTTGCCTCCCCCCCAAAAAAAAAAAAAACTGAGAAGATAAAATTGATACATTTCTCCCATTTGCTTACTTACATGAATTATAAAAGTATCTACCTCAGTCAAATTAATAACGCCACCCTCTCATAATAAAAATTAGGAATATTAATTACATCACTCTTAGTGTAATACCCCAAATATCACATAAGCACGACAATCTGAATTTGAGGGCATTGATAGTAAACTCTCGCTTAGGACTTGTTGCTCATTAATAAACATCCTTAATATGCAGCATCTAAAAACAAAGGTGAAATTTCATTGAATCTTTGTGTACTGAAAATTACACAGTTTGATTAATTGGGTGGAATATATACTTTGTAAAATGCCTCTACGGTGTGCTTATAAAGACTGAAGCAATTTTCATCAAGTGGTGCTTTTCAGGGTAAAACCTGAAAACTCTGTTTTATTTCATCAGAACAGTTTATTTTCTTTTAAAAAAGAATTTGAATTTGAATGTCTTTAATCTAGATAGACACCCTCCAAATTGTCTTAGCCTACTAGTTTTGTATAATGATACAATATTATCTGCTGGACTCTGAAGGCATTTGAACTTTTCAACCATGTTTAAATAAAGTTTGTTCCTCCAATATTAAAAATTATGTACTATAATCATGAATTTTCAGGCATTGTTGTCTATGAACTCAGAGTTTATTAATATTTTATTTATAGTGGTATGAATTAACAGATACTATCTATATATTAATATTATAAGTAAAAGTAAATAAAAATTAAATATAGGGAAAATTAGAATGAGTTATTTCACAACCAGAACAGAATCAATATACCATGTATGAATATTCTATAGAAATGTAACTACAAGCATTAAGGATTTACAATGACTCAGAGTCTCTCAGATTTTGTAAACTGCCCTGACTTTTCAGTCTCCTGGACATCCAAAGGGGAATTGCAGAAGTAACTTGAAGAATATGTTATGACAGAGAGAAAGTTATAATAGCAGCTCATAACAGAAACATTTTCAAATATTTAGCTGTTGATGTACTTGAAAATAATGCAAAAGGTCAACTGTGTGAACTTATGTCAAATATCTACTATTTTGAGAATAATTACCGAAGATAGAACTTGTAAAATCTGATCCAATAGATCGGGATCAAAAAAAGTTTGATATGGGAGAAGAATTATGAAGACTATTTTTCAAGGTATTAGAAATAGAAATGAGTAGAGGAAAGAGGTTCTTCAATGTTACTGACTATGCTGCTGAGAAATTGTATGCAAATTGATGTATACATAGAGAAAATGAAAGATAATGTAATGATATTTCCTAACTCTAAACCTGTTTAAGATTTTTTTTTTGGTCATTTTTGAGACTAAACAATGCCATAGTTTATAAAGAAATTTTGGATTTTTTTCCTTTCTTATTTACTAAAATGCAAATTTGCTTTGTTATATAAATTTAGTGTCAGTTTGCTTTTATTTTACTGTTGGTTTGGTTGGTTTAGCAATCATGTAAAACTTTCATGTAAGACACATTTTCTTCATAGAAAGTTTTACAATATTTGCATATTAAGTTTTAACAAATGGTAGCCAGTAGCAACAAGGCAGTACTACGATTCTAAAATTATGAATTATACTCCTTTTTCTATTACAGATCATATGTTCTTTGGCACTTTGTGTCTTTCTCTTTCTTTTCAATTTGTAAAAGCGAATTCAATGCACTCAATTTGTGAAAGCATAAAAAAAATTAGATTTCCATTTTCTCTACTGGGTGTATGTCAACTGCTTACCTAAAATTAGTAAAATGGTAATTTTCATTGCTACTTACACTACATACTTACAAAAGTTATGCTTACATTGTTCAAATGAAAATATATTTCCCCCATATATGATATTAGCCTGAAATGTATTTTTTTCTTTTCTCCATTAATAGTTTGTGTGTTTGTTGGTTTACAAAATTAAATGGTAATTTGTTATAAATTTACAGTAAACCTATAGATGCAATTTCTTAGAAAAGGAAAAAACTAAGTGGGATTGTATTGAATATTACTAATTATACATTCTTACCCTTTGAAATTTTACTGTTGAGCTTTCAGTATATTCAACAATGTTTGACCACTCTCAACTTCTCAAACAATGACTGCTATTTCTAAATTAGGTGGTGATTTTTCTTACAATTGCTTATTTTGTTTACATTTAACTCAATTTAAAATGATGTGTGAATTTGCATTATTTTGATTTCAACTCAGACAATCTTTTGTGTACTTCTTTTTATTAGATATAATTCCAAAGTAATAAATATCATCAACAACAATGTATCAATAATGTACCACACATAATATTTAAGGAACTTTAGCCTATATTTTTGCAGTTAATTATGACAGAATAAATCATTCAGCATTTTACTATTCTAAATTTAGCATCTGCTCTACTATATAATAATTAATGATATAATTTTAATTTTCTCTCATCTGCTGTGGTATAATTTTTCAGTTATTCCAATAATGAATTTCAATTCTCAATATTGTCAAATATTATCACTACTGCTATTTACTACTCAAAGTGACAATCTGAGTTTCTCCTTAAATGCTTAAAATAATCTTTATAGATTGTTATAAACAGAAAGCTCTAATGTTTAGAATTAAAAATGATATATTGATAAATTCACTATAAACATAGTAATTAAATCATTACCCTCTTTAGTAAGAAGATAACAGGATCTCAAGTACATTGCAACTAGTGTCTTGACAAATATAGGAAGTGTAGCAAGCTGACATTTTATACTTAATAAAAAGGTTTTGACAGTATTACCTTGCATTTATATTGTTCTATTAAATATGTTTCTCTTCAGTTCAACAGAGAATCAGGAATTATTTTGACGGTAATTTTCTCATCTAATTAACTTGCCAGAATTCATCTATATAGAGGTATAGCAGGAAAAATAATTATTTAGAATAATAGCTGCATCTATCACCAGATCCCAGAACTATAACTTTCTTTTTCTAGGTGTGCCTCTACTCTGAATTAACAGATATGTGTATATAGATGTCTACAAATTAAAATGAATTCAGCAAGTACCACATATCTCCTAAATTAACACTACCATTTTCCTTGATTCAAATTTCAAGGATGGCTAAAACATGGATAAGAATATCAAGAGGCTGCTTTCCTACTTTGGTATGTAAATTTATATTAGGAAACCATCAGGGATAATACTAGTGGATTTTAAATATATTTATAAAAGACACAGGAAATATTTTTCAAATGGTCCCATTCTAGACAACTTCTCTTAAAAATAAAGTTGTGGAAGAACTTAGTTAAAAAATAGTCAAGCTAAAAGGAATATAAATGAGCAGGTAGACATATAATGCATCCCAATTTTTAAAGTTTGATATTAAATCTGTTTTTTGGTTGAATTGCCTAAGTTATATAAATAATTAAGAAAAGTAATGTTTGCTGTTTTGCACCTACATTACTGATTTTAAGATCAGAGTTTGCCTTATTCAAATACTGGTGAAATTTTCAGGCATTTCACAGATAGGCTGCTGGTGATTTTAAACCTGGTAAGGTATTTATCTATTTAGAAAGCTTTTCTGGGCACTATGTGTCTTCCCCTGGGTGTGAGAAAATCAGTTCATCCTTTTAATGAGATTGTTACCTCCAGGGAAAAGGTAATCCAGCAGGAATAGCACATTCCTCAGGGCAGTAGCCTACACAGGGACACATTTTTCTCTGGGGCTGACTGCACGTATATTTCACTGGGAAAATTTTAATATTTTAAAATATTATTGCATCTAGTCACAAGGGATTGTGACTATAGGATACAATATTTTTTGAAAATATATTGACATTTTTCTAAGCTTTTTCTACATCCATAATAAATTAGGGAATATTATTTATTATTAAAATTTTAGCTGTCTTCATCATTGAGGTATAATAAAATAATTACTACTATGTACTTTACATGTTAAGCTTGGAGCTAGAGAACAAGAGGTTTAAATGAAGTAGCTTTAGAATTTCACTTACGAACTCCAAAGAACACAATTTCAGAAGTCTTTGAACTTTTTCTCTCCATCCAAACTTATTTGATTTAAACCTTTTTAAAAGCTGGGATGATGATTTGCTTCTGTGGTCACTTCAAATATTTTGGAGAGTTTATAAGCTGAGAATGTAAATTTGTTTGACGGAAGCCACGTTTTAATTTCTCAATATTTAATATTCATATATTTCCAAATTCTGTTTAGTCATTATTTTTGCCCACTAAAGAATATTGGAATACAACTACAAAACTTTAGCATTTTAAATATTTAGCTTTTTTTATTTTATAAACTCTTACAATGTTCTTTCCAAAACAAACAAAAAAAACAATTAAATATTAAATATATGTTATGACATTAAGATATGTTCATATTGTTTTTGTTTAAAAAATGTGCAGTTTTATAGACATTGACTATAGAAAATAATCTTGTTTCATAAGAGATAGCAAGGAGATCAAAATGTCTAATAGAAATCTAATAATAAATATGAAAAATGTATTTCATTTTTAAACTATTGGTCTTATTTGGATAATGAGGGGTAAAAGTCAAAAAAGCACCTTTCACAGTATCTAATCTATTCAAAATGAAGGCTGTAT